GGGGGTACTGGAGGACCAGGGTTGGGAAACACTGTAGTAAAGTACAGTAGTGTTGTCACGGTACCAGAATTTTAACTTCGATGCCAGGTTTAGTACCACAATACTCAATAACAAAACAATACCATGGCAAAAAAAAAGAAGGCAGATTAGCCAAAGTCACAGAATGGCAGATGATCCAGACAGATAAACTCAGCTACTGCTCTGTTCAATCGTTTTTTTTTTCAGAGACAGCCATGTATGCGTTAATGAATCAATTACACAATCATACAAACAATTTGACTTTGTTTTTACCAATCTAACTAAATAACAGCATAATGGTAATCATTTATTTGAATGGTAAATCTCTATTGATAAACTGGGGAAATGAAGATGTAGCCTAGGCCCATACACAATACAGGTGAATGCATATTCAATAGGAGTGTGTGCATGCATTGAGTTATTGAGCTTGTTTTGGCTGATTTCATGGGGCTATAGATGACAAACAATCTGTTTCCCTTCCATTTGGGACTTATTTTATTGTACTGATCAACAACATTTGCATAGAAGTAGCTTATTTTGTAAAAGTGAGCTTTGTCTCTTTAACCAGTAATGACGTCATTCACAAGGCAAGAGGGAAGCAGCCCGACGGAGCCTTATTCAGTTCGCTGAGGCAATAGATAATATTTGGGAGAGACGTGAGAGAGAGGTCGATCAGCTTTGAAATCAAAATATTTTGTGTTATTGTTTGCAAACAAAATACTGGGGAAGTGAATTGATGTTGGCTTCAGCTGTAAGCTAGCAATGATAGTTCGCCTACAAAGCTGGAAGATACCGGAATCGTCTTGCATTGTAAAGTGTTCTAGACTGTATGGACATTGTTTTGCGAACAGTAATTAACAGTTTCAAAATGCCGTGTCGCATTATTCAAGTGTGTTAACTTCTGTGCAGCATGAGTGGGGAGCTAACATGATGCAGTCCAGACTCCCAGTGCAGGCTAAGTGGAGCAGGCACGGTGGGGAGCTAACATGATGCAGCCCAGACTCCCAGTGCAGGCTAAGTGGAGCAGGCACGGTGGGGAGCTAACATGATGCAGCCCAGACTCCCAGTGCAGGCTAAGTGGAGCAGGCACGGTGGGGAGCTAACATGATGCAGCCCAGACTCCCAGTGCAGGCTAAGTGGAGCAGGCACGGTGGGGAGCTAACATGATGCAGCCCAGACTCCCAGTGCAGGCTAAGTGGAGCAGGCACGGTGGGGAGCTAACATGATGCAGCCCAGACTCCCAGTGCAGGCTAAGTGGAGCAGGCACGGTGGGGAGCTAACATGATGCAGCCCAGACTCCCAGTGCAGGCTAAGTGGAGCAGGCACGGTGGGGAGCTAACATGATGCAGCCCAGACTCCCAGTGCAGGCTAAGTGGAGCAGGCACGGTGGGGAGCTAACATGATGCAGCCCAGACTCCCAGTGCAGGCTAAGTGGAGCAGGCACGGTGGGGAGCTAACATGATGCAGCCCAGACTCCCAGTGCAGGCTAAGTGGAGCAGGCACGGTGGGGAGCTAACATGATGCAGCCCAGACTCCCAGTGCAGGCTAAGTGGAGCAGGCACGGTGGGGAGCTAACATGATGCAGCCCAGACTCCCAGTGCAGGCTAAGTGGAGCAGGCACGGTGGGGAGCTAACATGATGCAGCCCAGACTCCCAGTGCAGGCTAAGTGGAGCAGGCACGGTGGAGAGCTAACATGATGCAGCCCAGACTCCCAGTGCAGGCTAAGTGGAGCAGGCACGGTGGAGAGCTAACATGATGCAGCCCAGACTCCCAGTGCAGGCTAAGTGGAGCAGGCACGGTGGGGAGCTAACATGATGCAGCCCAGACTCCCAGTGCAGGCTAAGTGGAGCAGGCACGGTGGGGAGCTAACATGATGCAGCCCAGACTCCCAGTGCAGGCTAAGTGGAGCAGGCACGGTGGGGAGCTAACATGATGCAGCCCAGACTCCCAGTGCAGGCTAAGTGGAGCAGGCACGGTGGGGAGCTAACATGATGCAGCCCAGACTCCCAGTGCAGGCTAAGTGGAGCAGGCACGGTGGGGAGCTAACATGATGCAGCCCAGACTTCCAGTGCAGGCTAGGTGGAGCAGGCACGGTGGGGAGCTAACATGATGCAGCCCAGACTCCCAGTGCAGGCTAGGTGGAGCAGGCACGGTGGGGAGCTAACATGATGCAGCCCAGACTCCCAGTGCAGGCTAAGTGGAGCAGGCACGGTGCGCTCGCGCTATAAAGGGGGACATCGGCTGCGCTGATACAAACTTGAGCCATGAGACACATTTGACAGAACTACCGAAAGTAACACAAATTCTAGTACCAAACCATTTTTCATTTTCTTGTATCGAAAAGGTACTGAAGTTTTGTTATACCGTGCAACACTAGTACAGCACAGTAGAGTACAGTAAAGAAAAGTAGAGTATAGTACAGTACAATACTGTACAGTAGAGTTCAGTACAGTACACAGTAGCACACACGAGTTGAGTACACTATGTTCTGTTTTGTACTGTACTGAACTACTTTACTGTACTGTACCGAACTCTGCTCGTCTGAGTGCTACCATGCTGTACTTTGATTGTACTTTGATGTCCAAACTTGTGAAACATAGATGATTGGTTCAGATTTGGTCCAGTCCTGTCCAACCTCTTGTTTGGGGTCGGAGCTCATTCAAATAATAGGCAGTGTGTAGAATAATACCCAAAGATGCAAAGGAGGATATTACATTTTTCTACTTTTGTGTACCTATTCAGGATACATCACCATGAAGAGCATGACATTCATATCTATAGTTTGCTTTTCTGTGTAGTACAGATCAGGGACCCATGCTGTAATTCCGTTACCGGAATTACATTCAGGCTCTGTCGTAGCCGGCCGCGACCGGGAGACCCATGGGGCGGCGCACAATTGGCCCAGCGTCGTCCAGGGTAGGGGAGGGAATGGCTGGCAGGGATGTAGCTCAGTTGGTAGAGCATGGCGTTTACAACGCCAGGGTTGTGGGTTCGATTCCCACGGAGGGCCAGTATGAAAAAATAAAATAATAATGTATGCACTCACTAACTGTAAGTCGCTCTGGATAAGAGCGTCTGCTAAATGACTAAAATATAAATGTAAATGTGAAGACACTTCATTTTGTTTGGATTAAATGCGGAAGACACATTTCAGTTGTACAACTGACTAGGTATCCCCCTTTCCTTCCTTTGCTTAATATAGTTCAATAACCAAAACAGATTTGTTCAAACTCAGTGTTTCATGTCATGCAGATATCGTTGAATCTTAATTCGCAGCAGATATCTACGTTTTTTGGAAAATGTGGACACATAAAAAACTGAGGGAGATTATATACTTTTTGTTACCAAACTTTGCATCTGCACAGTTTTTACAGTAATTGTGATTTTGTAAAGTAGTCCTTGTGCATGGTGTTGTATGGTTTGTTCAACTTTGAAATCAATGGTTTTTGTTTGTCTGTGTAATTCCGTTACCGTGGAATTGCACACATATTGGTTTCCTTATCCTGATTTAGCCTAGGTGAACTATCCCTTTCCCTTTTAAAGGGGGTCTCCATTTTGTTGTGCTTTGTTTGACAGTTGGCGATGTGTATTGTTTTACAGGTACCCCCAGTGAATATGTGTGTAGGTAATGCTCTCTGAGCCCTGCGGGACGCCATGTCTGAAGAGGCGATCTCAGGAAGCGACCTGGACCCCAGTGTTAACAGCGAAGACGAGGATCTGGAAGAGGAAGACGAGGAGATTGAGGATGAAGATGAGGGTGACAATGATGGGGATGATGAAGATGATACAGTTGGTGAGTGACATGGCTGGTGTGTTGCCTCCGACTTAATACTTACAATTCATACAGGTTCTTCAGTCAGAACAGAAGACATTCTAGAAGTGATTCTAATTCAATCTAAAGACTAACTCCGTTTAAAGGGAAAGTTGGTGATGCAGGAAGTAAACAGCAGAGTCGGGCTGACTTCCGCAACAACTGAAAGTGCGAGGCTTAACATCTCCGCTGTTGTTATGCCGCAGCTTTTACGTTGCAGCAGAGGGAAGTCTGGCACCCTATTCCCTAGAATAGTGCCCTACATGGGAGGACCCGGTCAAAAGTAGTGTACTACGTAGGGAATAGGGTGCCATTTTGGATGCAGAAACAAGAGTCAAGCGGTGAGCTGGGTACTTGGAGAGAGTCTGATCCCACATTGTTAGACAGACAAGTTTGAACATGTTAGAGCAGACAGAGCAACAGGTAGGACAATTCAGGTCAGGGTTTGATGAATGCTGCTGTAATGAAATTTCCAGCCTGCATCTGCTCTGAGCAGCGTCTCAACTATGTGTTCAATGCCAGGAATGTGAGAGGCTGCCAGGGGTCACACCGGGCAACCCCCACTCATACTCATACACTCAGGCCTGACTGCCTGGAAGGATGGGAGTGTAATGAAGACACTGGTTGTGTCCCAAATGGCACCCTATTCCCTATTTAGTGTACTACTTTTGACCAGGGCCCATAGGGTCAGAGCCTTGGGCAAGCCCCACTCACACATTCAGCCTGGCTGCCTGGAAGGATGGGAGTCACAAATTGCACCCCATTCCTAGTGCACTACTTTTGACTGGTTAGACGTAGTGCACTATTTAAGGGAATAGGGTGCCATTTGCGGGACAGACACTGTCTGTAACATCTGTCTGACTGGGGTCGGACAGTAACAGCCATGAATGAACCATAGAGAAGATGATCGGTTGGCCCAGTAAAGAATACAAGAGTTAGGATTTAGGGACGGTTTCCCGGATAAATCATGAAGCCTGATCCTGGACTAAGAATCTTGTTCAATGGAGATTCTTCAGCTCATTGACCCCAGAAACTGATAAACCAATGGTTTGGTGAAAGTTCCTGACAAACAATGCTTTCCCAAAAGGTTTGTCCATTTCTCAAACCCTAATGGCCAGTATAATAATTAGTTGATTGATTGATGTCATTCTCTGCTCCTCTCTCCAACAGAGCGGCCAGAGAGCGGCCAGGGCAGTACAGAGATGGAGACCCAGGGAGGGAGGGACTACCCCTCAGCTACCTCACCTTCGGAAGAGACTCCCTCTGATCCCCCGTCTCAGGCAACCTCCCAGCCCCCCTCCAGGCCTTCCTCCCGGCCCAACTCTAGGCCTGAGTCTCGCTCCCAGCCCCCGTCTGGCCCCAGTTCCCAGCCTCCTTCCTGCCCTGAGAGCCCCAGCCAGGACAAGCCCTCTGTGAGCAAAAAGAAGAAACCGAGGGCCTCAAAATCCCAGGCCTCTTTGTCCCATCCTGAGACCCCCAGCAAGGACAAGCCCTCAGTTGGCAAAAATAAGAAACAGAGGACCTCTAAGTCTAAGGAGCCTAAGCCTGCTAAACCCTCTAAGACAGCACACATGAGGAAGAACATCAGGTAGGTACACTCATCTGTTCGATAGGGTGGTTTCAATTCCCTGTTATCTACCCTCTCCTCTAACCCATCCCCGTCTCCCTGTCCTCTAACCCGTCCTCCTCTCCTCTAACCCGTCCCCCTGTCCTCCTCTCCTCTAACCCGTCCCCCTGTCCTCCTCTCCTCTAACCCGTCCCCCTGTCCTCCTCTCCTCTAACCCGTCCTCCTCTCCTCTAACCCATCCCCCTTTCTTTCCTCTAACCCGTCCCCCTGTCCTCCTCTCATCTAACCCGTCCTCCTCTCCCCCATCCCCCTGTCCTCCTCTCCTCTAACCCGTCCTCCTCTCCCCCATCCCCCTGTCCTCCTCTCCTCTAACCCGTCCTCCTCTCTCCCATCCCCCTGTCCTCCTCTCCTCTAACCCATCCCCCTGTCCCCCTGTCCTCCTCTCCTCTAACCCATCCCCCTGTCCTCCTCTCCTCTAACCCATCCCCCTGTCCTCCTCTCCTCTAACCCGTCCTCCTCTCCTCTCCCCCATCCCCCTGTCCTCCTCTCCTCTAACCCGTCCTCCTCTCCCCCATCCCCCTGTCCTCCTCTCCTCTAACCCGTCCTCCTCTCCCCCATCCCCCTGTCCTCCTCTCCTCTAACCCATCCCCCTGTCCTCCTCTCCTCTAACCCATCCCCCTGTCCTCCTCTCCTCTAACCCGTCCTCCTCTCCTCTCCCCCATCCCCCTGTCCTCCTCTCCTCTAACCCGTCCTCCTCTCCCCCATCCCCCTGTCCTCCTCTCCTCTAACCCGTCCTCCTCTCCCCCATCCCCCTGTCCTCCTCTCCTCTAACCCATCCCCCTGTCCTCCTCTCCTCTAACCCATCCCCCTGTCCTCCTCTCCTCTAACCCGTCCTCCTCTCCTCTAACCCGTCCTCCTCTCCTCTCCCCCATCCCCCCGTCCTCCTCTCCTCTAACCCACCCCCCTCTCCTGTAACCCACCCCCCTGTCCTCCTCTTCTCTAACCCATTCTGTCCTCCTGTCTTCCAAACCATCCCTTCTTCCTCTCCTCCCAACAGGAAGCTGCTGAAGGAGCACCAGATGGAGGCAGTGACCAAAGCAGCCCAGCAGGAGGAGTTAGAGAGGCTGAGGCGTCTGGAGCAGCAGAGGAAGGACTTCACGGCACCACCCGTCCAAGAGTTTCCTCCACCAGGTGAGAGTCCTACTTCAGCCTGAACCGCTCTGGACACTGACTGTCATAGAGGGGCTCCATTTGGTGGTCTGTCATACAAAGGATTCTGGAGGGCCCTATAAAATATTTTTAATTTTTGCCTGATTCAGTTTTTCCCCAAATTCCGTTTTCTCTGTTTTGTTTTTCCAGGTTTCAGTTTTTTTTCAGTTTTCTCATGTTTTCGCTCTAAAAATCACACCTTTTTTTGTTGTATATAAAAACAACACAATTGGATGTTCTAAGTCCACAACAATGCTTAAACCACACCAGGAGACCACTTTTGAGGTCTGTGGAAAAATCTAAGAAATTAAGATTCTTGGGTGTAGTGACCCTTTAATTCAAGTGTACACCAGCAAAGTGGCCATTGTTTGGTTAGCAATGTTTCTGTAGCGCTCATGTGATTGCATAGTTTGTAAATTAGTTAATAGACCAATAAAAAAGAGTTACAAACCTCTCTGCCAATAACAGCTTGTTTTCAGTTTCCCCCTCCTTGCTCAGACCACTCCCATACAGTCCTAGCAAAATTATTTATTGAGAAATTGCTCTTTTGAGCATTTAAATGAAAACATAGGCTACTTTGTAGTTAACATTTAATTGGGAAAGGCTTTCCCAAAAACCTTCTATCTCTACTAGAAGATGGTTATCATTAGCATCACCGCTAACAGAAACTCTAATCGCTAACTGCATTCCTGTGCCGTTTCAGAAATTTGCAGGAAAATATGAATCATTGATGCAATTTGTTCATGTCTTATGATTAATTTGGGCCAATTAATGACTTTTCTAGTAAGCTAAATACATTTGGATGATTTCCTACTAATAAGTTCAATACATTTTTGAATATTGTTGAATACCGTTTTAATGTCTGGATTCCGTCTGCGTACTCCACAACACAGATTTTATAGAGCCCTAATTCTGCCACCCCACGGTCGAGGGAGATTTATTTTCCTAACCCCTTTTACTTATTTCTTGTCTCTCTCGCTCTCTCACTCTCCATCCATCTCTCTCTCTCTCTGACTTTATTCACATGGAACGTTAAAGCACTTACATTGTCAAAGTAAACATTTAACAACAATGGTCAGTGCGCTCTTCTCTCTATCGCTCATCTCCCCCTCTCCTCCAGTGGAAGCGGTGTCAGGGAGGCCTGGAGACGAGGCGTTTCAGGGCCAGGGGTTGTTAGAGGCTGCTTTCCTAGCCAGGCAGGACGTAATCTGTCTGGACAGCAGTGACAGCAGTGGAGAGGAGGAGGAGGAGGAGGAGGACGCCAAGCCACCAGCTATCCCCACTATCCCGCCCACTATCAGAGACGGTAAGACCAGGAGAAGGACTGCTAAAACACAGGGAACAACCACCACACTCTGTCTAGTAGGGTTGTCACGATACCAGTATCACGAGACTCAATTTTCCATGGCAAAAAACACAAAGCAGACTTAACTATTTGGTCCTTTTAAAGAGTCAATGAGGCCCTTTATCTGCTTCCTCATAGTCAGATGAGCTCGTGGATACCGTTTTTATGTATCTTTCGTCCAGTATGAAGGCAGTTAGAGGTAGTTTTGTGAGCGTTAGCGCAGTGACTAGAAGTCTACAGGAACAACTAGCATGCTAGCTGTTCCCATAGTAGTTGTTAGTCATTGCGCTAACGCTAGTTAGCAATTGCGCTAACGCTAGCGACTTCTTTCAAACTGCACGCAGATAGATAAACGGGATACACAAGTTTAACTGACTCTGGGGAAGTAGATAAAGGTCCTCATTGCCAAAATCCCGAAGTATCCCTTTAAGAACCGGTTGTATGTATTGTGTGCTATAGCTTGGAAAATTAACACATTTGACTCTGGGTGACAACACAAGGCTGTTTGATTCCAATTAGGACTTTTCCTAGAGAAATGAAGTCTGCTTATTATTGTGTTGTTTCCTTGCCATGATATTTCTGAGTATCGCGATAAAGGTATTGTGACAACCCTGTCTACACTACAGGCTAGACCCAGACGTTCTAGGTAAAACCTTCTAGTTAGAAGGTTCCTTGGTTAGACAAACAGGAATCTATACACAGTTCTTGGTTAGTACTTAAAATGCTCTATCTAGAGGCAGCACAGATCTGATAATTACTTAATAATCGATGTCAGTCATAACGTTGTTTTAGCTGTCAGGTTATGAACGCTTAATGTCATGAACTATAAATGTCAATTCCCCTGCTCTGAATCAAGCCTTCTCTCCGGGACTACATTGTAGCTCAGTTGGTAGAGCATGGCGCTTGCAACGCCAGGGTTGTGGGTTCGATTCCCACAGGGGGCCAGTATGAAAAAATGTATGCACTCACTAACTGTAAGTCACTCTGGATAAGAGCGTCTGCTAAATGACTAAAATGTAAAAATGTACATTGGAAATAAATGTGCTATAATTCTTTCACCTGTTATCCTCTGAGATTTGTACATTTTTAACAGTTCCCCCCCCCAAAAAGTAATAAATACATCTAATCAATCAAATTCCTCCCCGACCCAGACGTGATCGAGCTGAGCTCGGGGGACGACGACACACTGCCGATCAGCAGCGACTCGGCCAATGATGATGAAGGTGCGGGGGGCACGGAGGAGAGCAGCGGGGCGCACATCAACGACTCACTCAACCAACCAGACGCCCAGGGGAGGGTCCTGGTCAACATCAACCACCCAGCGGAGGAGGAAGACCTTTACCTCGCCCCGCAGCTGGCCCGCGCAGTCAAACCTCACCAGGTATTACAGGGGAGCTACACTGGGTCATCAGAAGGGTCCAGTTTCCCGTACACAGATTAAGCCTAGTTCTGGACTAAAAAACCTTCTCAATGGTGAATCTCCATTGAAAGTGCTTTCAAGTTCAGGACTAACGTCAATCCATGTCTGGGGTCCTCTAGCTGCTGCATTGGACACGTAACTTTGGCTGGCGTGGGCGGAGCGTGAGCCACTTTATCAAGTGGTCTTGGGCGTGAGCCATATATACAATTCTTGAAAAAAGAACCGTTGTAATTTTACGCTTAGGCTTCATTTTACATTTTTGGGAGTGTCTCACGCTCTGCAAAAGTAACGCGGCCAGTGTAGCCTGTTAGCCCTTACCCTGCAGCCTGTTAGCCCTTACCCTGCAGCCTGTTAGCCCTTACCCTGCAGCCCTGTTTTAGCCCTTACCCTGCAGCCGTTAGCCCTTACCCTGCAGCCTGTTAGCCCTTACCCTGCAGCCTGTTAGAGCCCTTACCATGCAGCCTGTAGCACTTACCCTGCAGCCTGTTAGCCCTTCCCCTGCAGCCTGTTAGCCCTTACCCTGCAGCCTGTTAGCCCTTACCCTGCAGCCTGTTAGCCCTTACCCTGCAGCCTGTTAGCCCTTACCTGCAGCCTGTTAGCCCTTACCCTGCAGCTGTTAGCCCTTACCCTGCAGCCTGTTAGCCTACCCTGCAGCCTGTTAGCCCTTACCCTGCAGCCTGTTAGCCCTTACCCTGTAGCCTGTTAGCCCTTACCCTGCAGCCTGTTAGCCCTTACCCTGCAGCCTGTTAGCCCTTACCCTGCAGCCTGTTAGCCCTTACCCTGCAGCCTGTTAGCCCTTACCCTGCAGCCTGTTAGCCCTTACCCTGCAGCCTGTTAGCCCTTACCCTGCAGCCTGTTAGCCCTTACCCTGCAGCCTGTTAGCCCTTACCCTGCAGCCTGTTAGCCCTTACCCTGCAGCCTGTTAGCCCTTACCCTGCAGCCTGTTAGCCCTTACCCTGCAGCCTGGTAGCCCTTACCCTGCAGCCTGTTAGCCCTTACCCTGCAGCCTGTTAGCCCTTACCCTGCAGCCTGTTAGCCCTTACCCTGCAGCGTGAGAGGTGAAGGCCAAGGTGTACCCTACTGTACATGTAGGAAGACAGACTTCAGACGTGACACACCGTTCACTTTTTCCATCATCCATCTCCTCTTCACTCTGCTCTTGATTCACCTCTCGCTCTCACCCCTTGCTTACCATCTGTCTCTCCTCCTCGTTCCCCTCCCTCCCAGGTTGGTGGGATCCGGTTCCTCTATGACAACCTGGTGGAGTCTCTGGAGCGCTACAAGGGCAGCAGCGGGTTTGGCTGTATCCTGGCCCACAGCATGGGCCTGGGTAAGACCTTGCAGGTCATCTCCTTCATAGACATCCTGCTCCGACACACCGGGGCCCACACTGTACTGGCCATCGTCCCTGTGAGTTGACCGATAGGTTGGTTGTGGGTGGGTGTGTGTTCGAGTAAGTGTGTGTGTTTCTCTCTCTCTCTCTCTGTTCTCTCTCTCATCTCACCTGTCTGTCTGTATCGCTGTCTGTCTTCCAAGCTGTGTGTGTTTGCATACATCTATCTAGCTTTTCTCTCTCTCTCTCCCCCCTAGGTGAACACCCTCCAGAACTGGTTGGCAGAGTTTAACCTGTGGCTCCCGTCCCAAGAGGCCCTGCCCCCAGATAGTGACCCTGCCACGGTCACAGGACGCACCTTCAGAGTCCACATCCTCAACGACGAGCACAAGTGCGTACCATTATATAGTAGAGCTAGCTAACACACTGACTAGTGTGTGCGTGTTTACCAATTTTGACTAGTGTACCTGTGTGTGCCCTCGTGTGTGTGTGTGTGTGTGTTACAATTCTGACTAGTGTGTCTGTGTGTGCCCTCGTGTGTGTGTGTGTGTGTGTGTGTTACAATTCTGACTAGTCTACCTGTGTGTGCCCTACAGAACCACGGTGGCCCGGGCTAAGGTAGTGGAGGACTGGTCACGTGACGGGGGTGTGCTCCTGATGGGGTATGAGATGTACCGCCTGCTGTCCCTGAAGAAGAGCTTTGTGACTGGCAGGAAGAGGAAGTCCAAGAAGCCCCAGGGACCTGTCATCATCGACCTGGACGAAGAGGACAGGCAGCAGGAGCTCATGAAAGGTCAGGGGTTAGAGGTTAGAGGTCGCTGCAGGGCCACTGTAGGTGATCTAGGGCCGTAGTAGTAGTCTGAGTAGGAGTGCTGATCTAGGATCAGGTCCCACCTGTCCATCTAATCTTATTCATAGTGATCTAAAAGGCTAAACTGATCCTAGATCATAACTCCTACACTGATCCATTGAAAATGAGAAATTGCACACCAATATAACGATGATACAATACAGTATACTGAGTTGACGTTGGGGAATAATGCTTTGTAGAAATCTGCATAAATTACCATTATTCAAATGCCAAGGCTGATGAATTGCCTGCACATCAATGACATCATAGTGAATGAAAATGATGGTATTAATCACCACTGATAGTAGATTAGAGAACGTTGTTATTTGATTTATACATCAGACATTCCCGTAAGGTGTGTTTTTCTCTCTCTCTCTCTCTCTCTCCCCTCCACACACACCTCCACATTTCCTCAACCTGTGTTTTACTCTCTGTCTACCCCTCCTCACCACCTACCCACCCAGGTATCGAGAAGGCCCTGGCCAGGCCCGGTCCAGACGTGGTGATCTGTGACGAGGGCCACCGCATCAAGAACTACCACGCCAGCACCTCGCAGGCCCTGAAGAACATCCGCTCCAGGCGACGCGTGGTCCTAACGGGCTACCCCCTCCAGAACAACCTGATAGAGTACTGGTGCATGGTGGACTTTGTCAGGCCTGACTTCCTGGGCACCAGGCAGGAGTTCAGTAACATGTTCGAGAGGCCCATTCTGAACGGGCAGTGTGTGGACAGCACGCCGCAGGACGCCAGGTTGATGAGATACAGAAGCCACGTGCTGCATAGCCTGCTGGAGGGTTTCGTCCAGAGGTAAGAGCCAGGATTTCGCCTGATTTTAATCAATTCCCACTTTGTTCACATTATCATCCATTCACATATCATTGAAACAAACCTATCCCCTGACTTAGCCAAAATCCTGATCTCAAGTTGTCCTGGAGCCATTTGTATTGAGCGTCTCAAAGTAGCAGTGCTGGTCTAGGATCATCTGTCTGTGTAATCTTGTTAATTGTGACCTAAAAGGCAAAGCTGATCCTAAGTCAGCACTCTGGCTCTGATACATTGATACATGCATACGACCCATTGTAACATTACTGAAGAGCAGAGAACAGCCTTACTGGTGTTTAGGGAGAATATTTTGGGTGACCCAGGCATCATTCCCAATTCCAAATCAACCCCTAGCACCTACTCTCTCCTATAGCTCTTTGAATTGGCTAGGTATACAATATAGTAATAAGCTGATTTTTGCGTGTTGTGTTTCCTCCGTGTCTGTCCCAGGCGAGGCCACGACGTGCTGCGGGACCAGCTCCCCTCCAAGGACGAGCATGTGATCATGGTGCGCCTGTCGCCCCTGCAGAGGGCCCTTTACACTGAGTTTATGAACCGCTTCAGAGAGGCAGGCAACAGCGGCTGGCTGGGCCTCAACCCACTCAAGGCTTTCTGCGTCTGCTGCAAGGTGAGTCTGAGATTGCTGTACTAGTGCTGTGGGGTTAGACAGACAGACACAGACAGACAGACAGGCAGACAGACAGACAGACAGGCAGGCAGGCAGGCAGAGAGGCAGACAGACACAGGCAGGCAGGCAGGCAGACAGAGAGGCAGGCAGGCAGGCAGGCAGGCAGGCAGGCAGACAGACAGAGAGGCAGACAGACAGACAGGCAGGCAGGGGCACTTTAGGATGATCTGGACATGAAACGTGGGGGAAAATGCTAATACTGGGGATATTGATTTGTGCTACAAATTCTAAAAAGTGGCCAGGTAAACAAAACCGAGCATGGGTTGCTGTCATACCTTGTCCATAGACTGCTTACAGGGTAAGGAAGGATAAGAAAACCAATATGTCATTTAGTAATCCCTTTAAGCAGTCAGTCAGACTGGCCAGGCTAAACAGCCTAATCTTGACAACTGGACCAGAGTAACGCTATTGGAGTCAGTTCATTAATCGTGTGTGTGTATGTGTGTAGATCTGGAACCACCCTGACGTGCTCTATGAGACCCTTCAGAAGGAGAACCTGGCCAACGAGCAGGATTTGGACCTGGATGACATCACGGCGGCCACCAACCCCCGCTGCCCTGCCCCTGGCGCCGGCCTGAAGGCCAACAGCCGGTCCAACGTCACCCTACCCTCACTCAACCCCATCCAGGAGAGAGCCAATCAGGTCATCACCTACGAATGGGTACGCCTTGACACATCTGTCTGTCTGTCCGTCCGTCCCCCCCCCCCCCCCCCCCCCCCTTCCCTTGGTGTGAAAGAATGACAGCTTCATTCACCCACCTCCCGTCCTGTTCCATGTATCTCTGTTCAGGCCAAGGACATCATGAGCAGCTACCAGACTGGTGTTCTGGAGAACTCAGCCAAGATGCTGCTGCTCTTCCACCTGATCGACGAGAGCGTGATCAGAGGAGACAAGATCCTGGTCTTCAGGTTGGACCTATTCCTACGGCTGTTTGGAGTGTGTTTATATACATCATTGGTTTTAATGAAGTGTTTGTCACTCTCTATGAGCATACTTTTATAATATAACTTTATTTACCTTTTTTTTTTGCAGAGGATGGAAATTTGTATTTTTGCTTTTAGCCTATAAGTATCCATAATATGGATGTGGTTGTAGTTAACTGACTTGAATGTGTTTTTAACGTGTGTGTGTTTGACGTGTGTCCATCAGCCAGAGCTTGTCCACCCTGACCGTCATTGAAGACTTCCTGACCAGACGGCTAATGCCAGCAGGCCATGTCTCCCCCGACAACCATGGCCAGAACCAGACCTGGGTCCGCAACATCAACTACTACAGTGAGTCATCATCATCCGCACGACCCTGTTCCCATGGCAATCACTACTACCGGGACAGTGTCGTCATTCCCATGGCAACCCTTTTACTCTTTTCCTGTGTCAGCTCAGCTGTGAACCCAGATCCAATTTAATTTACCACTAACGTACTCTGTTGTTCCAGACTATTAGATTGGAGTTAGCTTGTTTTCACAGCAAATTGTCCCATTAAATGTTTTTGGCTTCAAACTGATAACTTTACTCATCTACACTCTCACTTAGACATTTTCTCAACCATCAGCGCCCATATTCATAATCTCAGAATGGGAGTGCTGATCTAGCACTCCCATGGTCCTCTGTAGCTCAGCTGGTAGAGCACGGCGCTTGTAACGCCAAGGTAGTGGGTTCGATCCCCGGGACCACCCATACACAAAAAATAAATGTATGCACGCATGACTGTAAGTCGCTTTGGATAAAAGCGTCTGCTAAATGGCATATTATATTATATTATATTATATTATATTATACCCCTATTTATTTGTTATAATCTCAGCCGAAGTCTTACGGCCCCCTACTGGACTGACCACCACACTACACTCGATCCACTAGAAGTATGGAGGTGTCCCAAATGGCATCCTATTCCCTACATAGTGCACTACTTTTGACCAGAGCACTACATAGGGAATAGGGTGCCATTTGGAACGCAAAACTATTTGTCAGGAATCGCCCCATGATGCTGATGTGGTGAATGTGTCTCGTCTGTCAACCCCCAGGGTTGGATGGGAGTACGTCTGCTTCGGAGCGAGAGAGACTCATCAACCAGTTCAACGACCCAGAGAACACCTCCACATGGGTCTTCCTCTTGTCAACAAGGTACTAGACTGTACACACACACTGATACGCATAGAAATAGAAGTGAAATTGCTGTGGTCTCATGGCTACATTTATTTACATTTTAGTCATTTAGCAGACGCTCTTATCCAGAGCGACTTACAGTTAGTGCATACATATTTATTTTTATTTTTTATACCCCACTGTGGGAATCGAACCCTGGCGTTGCAAACACCATGCTCTACCACTGCCCTTTCTAATAATTATATATCTATACTTATATATTGTTCACTCAAATATGCAACAAAAGCTGTGCTTTTTCCACTAATTGGTATTTTGACCAATCAGATTTTGCCTATAATTGGGCAAAGGATCAGAATTGGGCTGCCTGTGTAAATGCAGACAAATACACTCAATTAGACACACTCACTCACACAAATATATTTATTCACACACATAATTGCATATATTCCCCCTCCCTTTTGCATACACTTGATCAGCCATTCACTTACACACACACAGGGTAACACACACACACACACACACACTTGTGCATGTTGTTAATAAGCCTGTGTTGTGTTACTTGCAGGGCGGGCTGCTTGGGGGTGAACCTGATCGGGGCCAACCGGGTGGTGGTGTTTGACGCGTCGTGGAACCCGTGTCACGACGCCCAGGCGGTGTGTCGGGTGTACCGCTACGGCCAGAAGAAGCCATGCCACATCTACCGCCTGGTCTGTGACTTCACCCTGGAGAAGAAGATCTATGACCGACAGGTCTCCAAGCAGGGCATGTCTGGTAAGGGAGAAGGGGGGAGTGTGTAATGATGTGGGGGTACAGTGATGCACGACGTGTGTGTGTGGAAGTTGCTGGATTCATTTAATTGAGAAACTTCGTAATGAATGGCAGCATATAGAATTTGAAGTTGAAATGTGAATGACGGCGTAGTACAAGCCAGGGGAGTCTAATTGGTCAGTAACACACTGTGATTGGTTGTCTCAGTGGTCAGTAACACACTGTGATTGGTTGCGTCCAGACCGCGTGGTTGATGATCTGAACCCGGTTCTGACGTTCACCCGCAAGGAGGTGGAGTCTCTGCTGCACTTTGCAGAGGAGGAGCCTGACCCGGCCAAAGCCCCTCTGCAGCCCCACAAAGAGATGGAGACGGTCATCAGCCAGGCCTGTCAGCTCTACCCCCACCTCATCACTAAGGTACACACACACACACACAGATACACACTGTCATGTCATGCATCACTGTACATCATTACTATGGCACACACACACACGCAATCTATCAACCCTGTTGATCTGTACCCCACCAGGAACCCTTCCACCATGAGTCTCTGCTGGTGGACCGGAAAGAGTCCAAGCTCACTAAAGCGGAGAAGAGAGCCGCTAAGAAGAGCTATGAGGATGAGAAGCGTGCCTCCGTGCCCTACTCTCGCCCCTCCTACGCCCACTACTACCCAACCAGTGACCAGACCCTCACCAACATCCCAGCCTTTAACCAGCGCAACTGGTGAGTGACAATTTCTCCATTCTCTTACCTGCGCCATCACAGCACTAACATACAGGTAACTGACTAAATAAAGGAAACACCAACATAAAGTGTCTTAATAGGGGGTTGGGCCACCAGAACAGCTTCAATGCTCCTTGGCATAGATTCTACTAGTGTCTGGAACTCTATTGGAGGGATGTGACACCATTTTTCCATGAGAAATTCCATCATTTGGTGTTTTGTTGATTGTGGTGGAAAACACTGTCTCAGGCGCCGCTGCAGAATCTCCCATAAGTGTTCAATTGGGATGAGATCTGGTGACTGAGATACACACACACACACACACACACACACACACACACACACACACACACACACACACACTTTAAACCCCTTATGCTCATTTGAGACCTCTCTTTCAAAGTCACTGACATCTCTTCTTCTAGCCATGGTAGCCAAACAAATTGGGCAACTGGGTATTTTTATACATGAGCCTAAGCATGATGGGATGTTAATTGCTTAATTAACTCAGAACCACACCTGTGTGGAAGCACCTGCTTTCAATATACTTTGTATCCATGATTTACTCAAGTGTTTCCTTTATTTTGGCAGTTATCTGTACATACCCCATATGTAGTCCTATACCCCTAATACTTCAACAGCGCTGTGCAAGCCCAATAAGCAGGCCTAAACCACTACCTATCCATACAAATGATCCCTTTGGATCATTGTCACGAAACTGGCATTTGACAACAAAAATCACCAAATTCCTCTTGGATCACTTGAATTATCTATTTCATAATTATTATTATGTTTATATGTCAGATATTATGCATGTTATGCATGTTTTCAAAGTCCCCAACAGTTATAAACAAAAGTTAATATATTTTTTTACATTGCTCACCTAATGAAAAGGCCTGAGTCAAACATAACACTGATAATACATAGATTTAAAATGAAATTATTAAAATGTATTTTCTAATTTCTCATTAACTTAATGAATATTTTCTGTCATCTTCTGAATCTTGTTTTTTGTCATAATAACTTGTGTATACATGCTATTTTTCTGTAGGGTGTTCACCCAGAAAATGATTATTTCATTCATTGTTTATTAATCAAATCAAATGTTATTGTTCTGGCCTAATAACATAAGAAATAATACATTAAAAAAACAAAAATACTGCAAAGTTTCCAAAGAGCTCGAAGCAAGGCAGCCCTCTGTCGCCGCCATTTTCTACTACCTATATGGTTCAAACGTTCGACGGTTTACTCAGAGGATTAAGCATGATTAAAGTGAATAGAATGTTATTACGGCCATGGTCAAAAAGTGGTTGCTGCTCAATAGAACTGTCACTGCTCCATGGGCAGAACGGCGCTAACTTCAAATGTCAACTGACAAGCTAGCTAGTGGCTGCAGATGTGTGTGATAACATGGGCTTTTTCTAAATGAAATCCGCAGAATACCAAACAAAATTTTGCCTGTATGTACACTGAGTATACCAAACATTAGGAACACCTTCCTAATATTGAGTTGCAACCCCCGCCCCCTTTGCCCTCAGAACAGCCTCAATTCGTCAGGGCATTGACTCTACAGGGTGTCGAAAGCGTTCCACAGGGATGCTGGTCCATGTTGACTCCAATGCTTCCCACAGTTGTGTCAAGTTGACTGGATGTCCTTTGGGTGGTGTACCATTCTTGATACACATGGGAAACTGTTGAGCGTGAAAAACCCAGCAGCATTGCAATTCTTGACAAAATCAAACGGGTGCGCCTGGCACATACCATACCCCATTCAATGGCACTTAAATATTTTGTCTTGCCCATTCACCCTCTGAATGGCACACATACACAATCCATGTCTCAGTTGTCTGTCTCAAGGCTTAAAAATCCTTCTTTAACCTGTCTCCTCCCCATCATCTACACTGATTTAACAAGTGACATCAATAAGGGATCATAGCTTTCACCTGGATTCATCTGGTCAGTCTGTGTCATGGAAATGTTTTGTATACCCCGTTCACGAAAATGGATCGCTCCTACAGACAGTGAGTTACGTGGCCTTTAACTTGTGCTCATCTAAGTACTACTCATCTAGATGATGCATCATGGGTGAATTAAAAATGTATTTAAAAACTGATTGGAGTTTTTACAGGAACTTGAAAAAGTGTTACGGTAATGAGACATGTCCACAGACACTGTTTTAATGTAATAAATGTTATAGTAAAATGTAAACTTCAGCTAGTTTACCATTGTTATGAATGATGGACATACTACAGCAACATTATTTGTGTTTTATTCTAATAAGTTAGGTTTTTCTAAAGTAAGATTGTATAAAATGACCTGAGAATTTAATCCGGATCTATTTCGTTAATGAGAATTAGGGGTGAATGTTCACAAAATTCAAAATAAAATGTATACAAAGTAAGACACTTTGCCATAAACTATGCATCTCACTCTTCAGAATGATAGTATATTTTTGCAGTTGTGTCATGGTTTTGTAACTGTATTTTCTACGGACATGGTAAAAACTGGTTTCATGAGAATCACCCTTCTAGCCTCCAAACTCAACCATGCCATCTGAAGCTATCATCTGTCTTGAAAACTGTCCCACATCAGACTGTGTATGATCCTCATCCTTGTGTGTTTTGGATCCACTAGGCGTCCCATAGCTCGGGGTGATGAGAAGCCCGTGGCCAGCGTCCGGCCCGTCCAGTCCACCCCCATTCCCATGATGCCTCGCATGGCGGGCATGGGCGTGGCGGGCTCCAGCTCAGGGGTCAGCTTCCCCGTCAACTACCTGCAGAAGGCTGGCGTCTACGTCCAGAGGATCGTCACTACTACTGGTAAAATACATTTCCCTGCAGGGACAATAACGTTTGAATTGAATATAATTGGTGCTGATGAACACTGATACGCTTGCCATGGTCCTGTTCATTAGGGCACACCGTAGCAAAACGGTTTGCGACATAAAATGGAAATGAGCATTTCTTATTGGATTACGTTTAGATAGTACCTCCCCTTTTTCAGAGCGCTTTCTTACGTTTTGTGCCTACTGAATACGACCCAGGGGTAGGTTTAAGGAATAACTCCTGGTCCTCGTCAGGTGAAATGCTGTGGGGCTGCATTAGGATAGGGTTTATGTCCCAAATAGCACCCTGTTCCCTATATAGTGCACTACTTTTGACCAGCGTAGGGAATAGGGTGCCATTTGGCATGCAGCCGTGGTATTGTTTTGACGTCTTTGACTCCTTGTTTTTGACCTCTCAGATATAGTGATCCCAGGAGCCAACAGCACCACTGATGTCCAGGCCCGTATCGGTGCAGGAGAGAGCATCCACATGATCAAAGGGTCCAAAGGTAACAAGAACACAGCCTACAGCGCCTTCAGAAAGTATTCATACCCCTTGACTTATTCCACATTTTGTTACAGCCTGAATTCAAAATTGATTAAATATATGTTCTTTCCTCACCCATCTACACACAATACCCCATAATGACTAAGTGAAAAAATGCTTTTAGAAATGTTAGCAAATTTCTTGAAAATGAAATATTAAATTTACAAACGTATTCACACCCGTGAGTCAATACTTTGTAGAAGCACCTTTGGCGGCGATTATAAGGTCCTTGCCCGGTTAGTCAGTTTGGTCGGACAGCCAGCTCTAGGCAGTCTATTTTTTTCATTTGCCAATGGAGACCACTGTGCTATTGGAAACGATCAACACTCTACAACTTGTTTTATACCCTTCCCCAGATATAGGCCTCATCACAATTCCATCTCGGAGATCTACTGACAGTTCCTTGGACTTCATGGGATAGTTTCTGCTCTGACGTGCACTGTCAACTGTGGGAAACAGCGTTTCTTTCTAAATCATGTCCAAACAATGGAATTGGCCACAGGTGGACTCCAATCAAGTTGTATTGACATCTCAAGGATGATCAAAGGAAATTGGATGAACCTGAGCTCAATTTGGTGTATCATAGCAAAGGGGTGTGAATACTTATGTAAATGAAATATATTTCTGAAGGCACTATATATACTGTAGAAGCTGTGGCCCCTTATCTACCTGCATGTGTAGTCAAATTAATTCTCTACCTACTCTAATCCAAATACTGTACACACCTTAGAGTGGTTTACAACAGCCACATGGGCACCTGAATTCCCCAAGTTATCTCATTTAGATAAAGGGCTCGGTAAATTAACCTAAGCATCAAAACTGACTGGTGCTTCCCTGCAACCGTATATTTTACTGAATACCTTTTATACTTTTATTAGCTAATGTCATGAGAGGAGGGGAGTAAGTCAGCATTTCATTGCACTGCGTTAACTTCGCTGTATCCCGTGCATATGACAAATAAAGTTTGATTTGATTTGCTATCATCCATTAACTGCGGTCTTCCTCACAGGTACCTACATCAAGACCAATGATGGGAGGATTTTTGCCATCCGCTCAGGGAAGCTCAGCAGAGCAGTGCAGGGAGGAACTTCTACCAACAGAGGTGCACTATACTTTAAATTACATTACATTTGATAAGGACTCCATTTGACAGGATATGATAGAACCGAGTGACTTGGTGTACAGACTACAGAGAGGACCTAGAACCGAGCCCTGGGGGACACAAGTAGTGACTTAAGGGAATGTAGTTGTAGCACTGTTTGAAAAATGAATAGTTACTCTATTTTGACCCTCTCTTTTCCTCAGGTTCCCAGGTTTCCCTTCTTCGCGCCATCGGTAACGGCTGTTCGTCTCCCGCGGAGCGCCAACGGCTGACCCCCGATAGCGCCTTGTGGCCCTCCACCCCCGAGAGCCCCGAGATCCTCCGAGAGCTCAGCCGCTACGCCGTCACCGCAGATACCATTGCCGTGGGCAATGAGCTGCCGTCACCATCGGACACGTTTACAGGGGACAGAGGGGGAGGGAGCAGAACACAGCAGCACAATCAGACCACAGAATCGGACCTCAGCCGGCAGTTCAGAGCGGACATCGGAATGAGCATCAGCGAGGCTCTGCAACGCTCCAAACGCAAGATGGCCGAGAGCCATGGACACAAGCAGGCGGGGGGCAAACGCAGCTCATCAGCAGCCGGGTTCCCGGGCCTCTCCCTGGGCAGCAGCGGCCTCAGCTTCCCCCCCCTGAACCAGGCCCTGGAGGGACACATGAGCCACCCGCTGCTGATGGGAGGCAGTTCCTCGTCCCCCTTTCTCCAGTCAGCAGGACAGACTCTGGGAGACCTGCAGGCCATGTTCCCCTCGGCAGGGGCAGATCTCCTCAGCCACGCCTCCTCAGCCACAGGAAGCAACGGACACCTCCCCTCCTCCTCCTTGTCCCCCACCTCTTTCTCCTCCTCCTCCACCAACACCATGCCCGTGTCCTCTACCTCCACCACCCTACCCCCCTACCTGATGAATCCCAGTGTGGCCGACCTGCTGTCCCCAGGCTTCCCTCTGAACTACAGTCAGTCCCTGCTGCCTGATCCCAGGATGTACCCCAACACCCTGGGAGGAGGCCCAGCCAGCTCTGGAGGAAGCTCCAGCTTCCTCTCCCACTTCCCCTCTTCCCCCTCCAGCCTCCTGGGTGCAGCTCTGAGCCGGCCTGACACCCATCACATGGCCACGGAGAACGGTGGCAGCAGCTCGGACGATGATGTCATCGAGGTGACAGGACAATGAGCCAGCATTCATTAACCCTGAGGTGGATAAGTTGAAAAAACAGACCTAACCCTCTTAACCACCCTCCACACACACACAAACACGCACACAGACTCTCCTATGAGCGAGTGAGTGAGAGGGAACGAGTCGTACCTCAATGTGCTTACCAAGAGAAAGTAACAAAATCCTTATGCTGAATATCTTACTGAAGAGACTGAAGATTTGCCCGAGCCCCTGAGGTTGGTGAGGCTGAGCACCAGAGACCACAGATGGGAATGGATGGACTTGTTGTTGTAGGGGACCAGTTGGATACACATGGGGCTTCCAAGCACTGCCTCTCCTGCTATATCTTCTAGCATGGCCCAGCCATGCAGTTATTTTATCCCCATCATGATTACTGAGGCCAGTCAGGACACTATCTGCTCGGAGCTCACATCAGATGGAACTATGTGATCGTCTGTTGGACCGTTAGCATTCGAAATGTAAAAAGGTGATTTTAGAGTCGTTAGCTGTTTGATAGACATTGTAGTAAACCCTGTTGGAAAGGAAGAGAAGACAATATACACTCCCCTACGAATTTATTTGGACAGTGAAGCTAACATTTTAAATGTGGCTCTATACTCCAGCATTTTGGATTTGAGATCACATTTTTCATATGAGGCAACAGTACAAAATATCACCTTTTATTTGAGGGTATTTTCAAACAGTGAAGGAAAAAAGTATTTGATCCCCTGCTGATTTTGTACGTTTGCCCACTGACAAAGACATGATCAGTCTATAATTTTAATGGTAGGTTTATTTGAACAGTGAGAGACAGAATAACAACAACAAAATCCAGAAAAACGCATGTCAAAAATTGTATAAATTTATTTGCATTTTAATGATGGAAATAAGTATTTGACCCCTCTGCAAAACATGACTTAGTACTTGGTGGCAAAACCCTTGTTGGCAATCACAGAGGTCAGACGTTTCTTGTAGTTGGCCACCAGGTTTGCACACATCTCAGGAGGGATTTTGTTCCACTCCTCTTTGCAGATCTTCTCCAAGTCATTAAGGTTTCGAGGCTGACGTTTGGCAACTCGAACCTTCAGCTCCCTCCACAGATTTTCTATGCGATTAAGGTCTGGAGACTGGCTGGGCCACTCCAGGACCTTAATGTGCTTCTTCTTGAGTTGCCTTGGCCATGTGTTTTGGGTCATTGTCATGCTGGAATACCCATCCACGACCCATTTTCAATGCCCTGGCTGAGGGAAGGAGGTTCTCACCCAAGATTTGACAGTACATGGCCGCGTCCATCATCCCTTTGATGCAGTGAAGTTGTCCTGTCCCCTTAGCCGAAAAACACCCCCAATGCATAATGTTTGACAGTGGGGATGGTGTTCTTGGGGTCATAGGCAGCATTTCTCCTCCTCCAAACACGGCGAGTTGAGTTGATGCCAAAGAGCTCGATTTTGGTCTCATCTGACCACAACACTTTCACCCAGTTCTCCTCTGAATCATTCAGATGTTCATAGGCAAACTTCAGACGGCCCTGTATATGTGCTTTCTTGAGCAGGGGGACCTTGCGTGCGCTGCAGGATTTCAGTCCTTCACGGCGTAGTGTGTTACCAATTGTTTTCTTGGTGACTATGGTCCCAGCTGCCTTAAGATCATTGACAAGATCCTCCCGTGTAGTTCTGGGCTGATTCCTCACCGTTCTCATGATCATTGCAACTCCACGAGGTGAGAACTTGCATGGAGCCCCAGGCAGAGGGAGATTGACAGTTATTTTGTGTTTCTTCCATTTGCGAATAATCGCACCAACTGTTGTCACCTTCTCACCAAGTTGCTTGGCGATGGTCTTGTAGCCCATTCCAGCCTTGTGTAGGTCTACAATCTTGTCCCTGACATCCTTGGAGAGCTCTTTGGTCTTGGCCATGGTGGAGAGTTTGGAATCTGATTGATTGATTGCTTCTGTGGACAGGTGTCTTTCATACAGGTAACAAGCTGAGATTAGGAGCACTCCCTTTAAGAGTGTGCTCCTAATCTCAGCTCGTTACCTGTATAAAAGACACCTGGGAGCCAGAAATCTTTCTGATTGAGAGGGGGTCAAATACTTATTTCCCTCATCAAAATGCAAATCAATTTATAACATTTTTGACATGTGTTTTTCTGGATTTTTTTGTTGTTATTCTGTCTCTCACTGTTCAAATAAACCCACCATTAAAATTATAGACTGATCATTTCTTTGTCAGTGGGCAAACGTACAAAATCAGCAGGGGATCAAATACTTTATTCCCTCACTGTATATACAGTGCCTTCAGAAAGTATTCACACCTCTTGACTTATTCCACATTTTGATGTGTTACAGCCTGAATTCAAAATGGATTAAATAATTTTTTTTCTACACACAATACCCCATAATGACAAAGTGAAAACATGTTTGTAGACATTTTTTTAATTGTATTGAAAATGAAATAGACATCTCACTTACATAAGTATTCACACCCCGGAGTCAATACTTTGTAGTAGCACCTTTGGCAGCGATTACAGCTGAGTCTTTCTGGGTAAATCTTGAAGAGCTTGCACAAACCTGGATTGTGCAACATTTGCCCATTATTCTTTTCAAAATTCTTCAAGCTCTGTCAAATGTGTTGTTAATCATTCAAGTAGATTAAAGTCAAAACTGGAACTCGGCCACTCAGGAACATTCACTGTCTTCTTGGAAAGCAACTCCAGTGTAGATTTGGCCTTGTTTTTAGGTTATTGTCTTGCTGAAAGGTGAATTCATCTCCCAGTGTCTGGTGGAAAGCAGACTGAACCAGGTTTTCCTCTAGGATTTTGCCTGTGCTTAGCTCCATTCCATTAATTTTTTTATCAGTTTTAAAGTTACAATTGGCCTCATGGTGAAATCCCTGAGCGGTTTCCTTCCTCTCCGGCAACTGAGTTAGGAAGGACACCTGTATGTTTGTAGTGACTGGGTGTGTTGATACACCATCCAAAGTGTAATTAAAAACTTCACCATGCTCAAAGGGATATTCAATGTGTGCTTTCTACCAATAGGTGCTATTCTTTGTGAGGCATTTGAAAATCTGCCTGGTCTTTGTGGTTGAATCTGTGTTTTAAATTTACTGCTCGACTGAGGGACCTTAGAGATAATTGGGGGGGGGGGGGGGGGGGGGGACTTGTTAAGCACATTGTTACTCCTGAATTTTAGGATTGCCATAACAAAGGGGTTGAATACTTATTGACTCAAGACATTTCAGCTTTTCCTTTTTAATTAATTTGAAAAACATAATTCCACTTCGACATTATGGGGTATTGTGTGTAGGCCAGTTACAAAAAATCTATATTTAATCCATTTTAAATTCAGGCTGTAACACAACAAAATGTGGAAAAGGTCAAGGTGTGCGAATACTTTCTGAAGGCACTTTATCTGTATCTAGTCCCCCCATTTGAATACGTTTTTTTCTTTACATAAGTATTTGGACAAATTCACTTATAGTGTATTAAAGTAGTCAAAAGTTAATCTGTGGTTGGTCAATACCTTTCTCAGTCTGTGATGTCATGTCAAAATCATTATGTGAGTGGAATGGATCGGGTCTCAAGGTTATTTTTCTCCACTGGAATAAAATCTGCAAATGGACTTGGAATAAGCCTATTGGAGTTTCAGTTTAGTCTCTACTCCCTATTTCACCATACACTCCTCACAACCTCCACTCTACCCACCCACTACTGCTTACAGCCTGTTTCTAGTTGGTCATATTTTTCTCCACCTCAGAACCTCCTTAACCTTTTTCTAATTGGCCATGTCTATCAAATGATTTAGCCAATCATCCCAGTCCTTTTAAAAGGGAACACTTTCTTTGAAGGAGGAGTCCCCATCCTCCCTCTCAATCAAAATAGTGTTACTGTGCTTATTTCTTAGTGGTATCATGAAGAGAACATGATCCATTTTATTTTTTTATAACATCTTGATAATGTTAGCTTGCCTCGACTAGTTTGTCATTTATTTATGATGGAAACGAATTCATCTGTTACTTATTTTTGTAAATTACTTATTTTTGTCTCCGTTGATCTTTTGACCAGTGTCTGTGAAAGAGCAGAGCAGAGGCACAGACTGACTGTGAGATCGGGAGGGACAGTCACCCCATGTATCCAGCATATGACAACTGTTACTTCGTTAATGTTATTTTAACATAATAAAACACTTCTGTGTTGTTTCTTCATTACACTGACATGATTTTTAATGGGCTTTGTATGTTCTATGCACAATGTTTTTTGAACGTAGTGCATTTGGAAAGTATTCAGACCCCTTGACGTTTTCCACATTTTGTTACAGCCTTATTCTAAAATGGATGAAATCATTTTTTCCCCCTCTAATCTACACACAGTACCCCAATGACAAAGCAAAAACAGGTTTTTTAATTTTGCTACTTTATTAAAAATAAACTGAAATATCACATTTACATAAGTATTCAGACCCTTTACTCAGTACTTTGTTGAAGCGCCTTTGGCAGCGATTACAGCCTCGAGTATGTCGCTACAAGCGTGGCACACCTGTATTTGGGGAGTTTCTGCCATTCTTTGCAGATCCTCTGCAGCATCGCTGCACAGCTATTTTCAGGTTTCTCCAGAGATGTTAGATCGGGTTCAAGTCTGGGCTCTAGCTGGGCCACTCAAGGACATTCAGAGACTTGTCCCTAAGCCACTCCTGCGTTGTCTTGGCTGTGTGCTTAGGGTCGTTGTCCTGTTGGAAGGTGAACCTTCGCCCCAGTCTGAGGTCCTGAGCACTGGATCCTTACTCGTCTCCTAGTCCCTTCCGCTGAAAAATCCCCACAGCATCACGCTGCCACCACCATGCTTCATCGTAGGGATGGTGCCAGGTTTCCTCCAGACGTGTCGCGTGGCATTCAGGCCAAAGAGTTCAATCTTGGTTTCATCAGACCAGATAATCTTGTTTCTCATGGTCAGAGTCCTTTAGGTGCCTTTTGGCAAACTCCAAGCAGGCTGTCGTGCCTTTTACTGAGGAGTGGCTTCCGTCCGGCACTCTACCATAATGGCCTGATTGGTGGTGTGCTGCAGAGATGGTTGTTCTTCTGAAAGGTTCTCCCATCTTCACAGAGGAACTCTGGAGCTCTGTCAGAGTGACCATTAGGTTCTTGGTCACCTCCCTGACCAAGGCCCTTCTCCCCCGATTGCTCAGTTTGGCCAGGCGGCCAGCTCTAGGAAGAGTCTTGGTGGTTCCAAACTGCTTCCATTTAAGAATGATGGAGGCCACTGTGTTCTTGGGGACCTTCAATGCTGCAGAAATGTTTTGCTACCCTTCCCCAGATCTGTGCCTCGACACAATACTGTTTCGTAGCTCTATGGACAATTCCTTCGACCTCATGGCTTGGTTTTTGCTCTGACATGCATTGTCAACTCTGGGAGCTTATATAGACAGGTGTGTGCCTTTCCAAATCATGTCCAATCAATTGATTTTACCACAGGTGGATTCTAGGATGATCAAGGATGATCAATGGAAACGGGATGCAAAGGGTCTGAATACTTATAAGGTATTTCTGTTTTCGCTTTGTCATTATGGGGTATTGTGTGTAGATTTGATTAGTTTTTATTTAATCAATTTTAGAATAAGGCTGTAACATAACAAAATGTGGAAAAAGTCAAGGGGTCTGAATTCTTTCCGAATGCACTGTATATGCACATGGAAAAACACCAATATGCAAAATGTATTTTTTATTGAAATTGCATCAAGATATAATTTTGACAAAACATGTCAACAATGATCAGTAATAATCTATAGTATATTCCAATAATTATGTTTAACTCTACCTTCAATTGCACTCCTGCAGCTGGGAATCTATGAAACACCCATGTGAGGATAGTGGATTTGAATATAACGCAGTTATGATGAATGTATCCAGTACGAAATATGTATGCACTCATTAAGTCGCTCTGGATAAGAGCGTCTGCTAAATTACTCAAATGTAAAATGTATGATGCAACTATGCGTACGTCCTTTCCGTAAAACAATTGAGGGTGATGGAGTTACAGAATGGATGGGAGCAAACACTACACAGTTTGACACTTCATTGCAGTCAGTCTACCACATCAGTAAATATGACATCTTACGTTTTTGGCTGGAATTTCACACCTCAGTGTAAACTAGTACACAAATGTATCACCTTATAAAAACAAATGAATCACAAGAAATGTGCTTTGGTCCATTCAAGCCTAAAGGCAAAGAAAATCAAGCAGCATCAGTGGCCTCTAGGAGTTGTTTGCATGGTTGACAACCAATATTAGTACTTCCTTAGACACATAACAGGCTTTATTTTTCTCCTTGGCTCTCAGATACAAAATACTACTGTACTATACACTACTAAATACTCCAAGGACTGAGGCCTGTCATGAAAAAAACATCCCAAAAAAGGCAGAAGATTAGCAGCAGTGGCGCTCTCTCGTGGAAGCCTTATGTTCCACAGAGGAAGTTAGTAAGTATACACTAATAAACTACACTACCGCTTGTAATTCTCTGCAATAGTACTGTGCGATGCTATGCTCATTGGTGATTCCATGCACTTTTTTGCTCAAGGTAGAATTAACATACTAAAAATGTAAACTTTAAAATTAGAACTAATTCAGCAGTAGATGTGACAAAATCATAATTGCACCAATGTAAGGCACCGCTACTTTTGGGCATTAGGCAAAATGCATGTTGGTCCTCCAAAGAGAGCCCTACGGCGAGCTCTACAGTAAAGCTTTTATTAAAGCTTCATTTGAATACAGTAATAGTTTATGGCTGCTGTTTGTGAGCTTGGTGTTGGTGGGCCAGCCTGGTTAGGACACCAGCCGTTTCTTAGCCATGTAGGTATTGGACACCTGGCTCATGATGACCAGGGTGCTGAGGGCAGGGCACAGTGCTGCCAGGTACCAGGTGTATCCTCCCACAACGCCTGTAAACCACACTGAGCAGATGCCCAGGAGCAGACTGACACTGCCCAGCAGGTAAGTGACTAGGCCGGACGCTGCGTGGTAGCGCTTCAGCCTAGCCAGGGACCAGCCCTTAGCCAGGGAGTGGTAGAGGAGGGGCAGAGCGGCAAGAGACTGCACCCCTACAACGCACACCGTCCCCAGGCCCACCAGGCCGTGCCACGAGGCGAAGTGGGGCTTGTCGTTCAGGTGCTTGTTGTAGAAGATGGATGCCAGGCCCACAGTGGCACAGCTGGCACAGAGGCACTGCAGGATCCAGTGGACACGCCCCTTGGTCTTGTGGGGAAGCTTCTGAATGGGAGAGCAATGTGGAGAGAAGAGAAGCACAGCCTCTGTCATGAAGAGGGAGAACTAAGAGGGAAGAGGGGGATCAATAGGAGATGGGGAGAGAACGGCAAGAAAAGAGAAGGTGAGAGTGGTGGAGGAAAGATGGAATGAACTTGAATGGTTGTGACACTTCTGCAACATTTTAATGAGATGAATTCACAGACTACATTATGCACACACAGATGTGTCACCTTACCGCCAGTGTCATCAGGAAAGGGTGCCAAGAGAACAAACCTGAAAAACAGATCAACCCCAAAAAATATTGGATTGTTTAATCAACTCAATATAAAAGTATTCCATGTGTTATATGCAGATATGTAACAGCATTGATGGGGGCCAGGGTGCTCTGCTGCTGGCGCCAAGGCTGGGTTACTCACTTGTTCCAGGCTTGGCCAGTACCGTGATAAACACAGTGAAGACAACACAAAGCACGTGAGTCAGTATCCCACATGCGACTTTCCCATAACTGTAAATTTGGGGCTCTGATTCGGAGATTTTCGCCATGGTTTCCTGCCTTTCCCTCGCACACGAGACAGGTAGAACTGTGCGCATCCAACGTCAGCGCAACCACATTTGAACACACAGCTACCCTTTTACCCCACACGGGAGAGTTGATACATTTTCCTAAAATGTGAAAACAGAAAAGCAAAATGTTTTGTTGATTCCTCGAAACCCATAGAGAAAGTAAATACCAAAGCATTACACCATTACATTCCTCACTAAATTGATTCCGTACAGTGAAATATGCTTCACGAAAAAGCTGTTGCAAAAGGTTTTTGACAAGCGAGAGTGGGATAAGCACGTCAAACAGTAGCCGACCACAAGTTTAGCTAAATAAGACAAATACCTACCGGGATGTCAATATTTAAATTGCATAGAGATTATGAAAATGGTCCGCAATGTTTGATTCTCAATCAGCATGACTACGCGGAGTTTTCTTGATGTTGAAATTCGGGCTGCGGTGTGACGTGGAAAGAATCGGTATCCACTTCCTATTTTCACAGGTGCGCTTTGGGAATTGTAGTTCATTTAAGCAGTTGAGTTGAAGAATATCAAAGCTTTTGGAATGTACTGAGCGCATTCTTCCTGACCATGACCCGACTCCATAAAGAGAGTGGTTAATTACTTAATTTCCATTGTGGAACAGACTGGATTCCAACTGTGGCACCAACACTGTGTTATATTCAGAAGGAATGCTAAAAAAATACAATGATCATGGAGCCCAAACCAACAGCATGACGACATTGTATTTTCTTTTCTTCACTGCACTGATTAACCTTAACCTTTCCTGATCATTATTTTTGGAGAAAGTCGAATTTTGCCAGTAGAGCAAGCACCAAGCAGTAGGCCTAGAGAATGAACAAGGAATCAAGAATACAACGGAATGTCCAGAAGTAATTTGCTAAATCTAGAATAAGGTAGTCTGTAAACTCATCATGGTGCATAATGATCTCTCTGTGGAGCCATGGTATGATTGTAGCATTGTGCTGTGTGTTGCTCACTGTTGTTAAATGGGCACCTGGAATAGGCTACCACCCATTCCAAACTGCACCACTCCATAGACACAGTGCTCCTCCATTCAATGCTCATTGTGCTCCAATTCCTCCCAAACAAGCATGAGACGTGCAACACAGCTAGACACTAGAATGACACATTCTCACTAGGGCATAAAGTCCCTTGTCCACGCAGATACACTGCAACCAACTAGTCCAGCGAATAGGTGAAATAATTGTTCCATTTTATGATACAAGTATCAAACTTGGTACACTAATAACACCTTAAGGAACAATTTAAAGATTGGAGGCAGTCTGGGAAGCCTGTCAGTCAACCAGGGCTTTCTGTTAGAAGAAAAGCATTCCAAAAAATATAAAAATGACTTTAATGTGATCTACACACTAAATAAACTCCACAGATAATATAGACAATAATTCTGATCATAAAGTACTCTTAAGACCTTAACAGGGGTCATATAGAGGGGGTCAATTTTGACCATAGTCCAGCAGCTATGTGATTTTTTGGGGGACTTTGTGATAGAGCCACCAAATGTCACACAGCTAGGGCATGTCTAAAGTATTTTGGGCTATAAATGCCATTGTAGATTTTGTCCATTACCCCTCTGAAGGTAATTTCCAATATGGCCGCTGAAAAATTGTCTAAGAAACCCAAGATAGGTAACTGGTTGGATAAATGTCACCATGGGTACTCTGCTCCGGTCAGAGAGCAAGCAGACGACAGAGACGGTGCCAAAGTTCACATATTTATTAAGGACTTGTGGTTGGACATGGTAGAGTTGGATTTGTGTGTGGTTCTGCAACAAATGAGAAACATCCCCACAGCATGATGCTGCCATCACCATGCTTCACCGTTGGGATGGTGCCAGGTTTCCTCCAGACGTGACGCTTGGCATTCAGACCAAAGAGTTCAATCTTGGTTTCATCAGACCAGAGAATCTTGTATCTCATGTTCTGAGTGTCCTTTAGGTGCCTTTTGCCAAACTCCAAGCGGGCTGTCATGTGCCTTTTACTGAGGAGTGGCTTCCGTCTGGCCACTCTACCATAAAGGCCTGATTGGTGGAGTGCTGCAGAGATGGTTGTCCTTCTGGAAGGTTCTCCCATCTCCACAGAGGAACACTTGAGCTCTGTCAGAGTGACCATCGGGTTCTTGGTCACCTCCCTGACCAAAGCCCTTCTCCCCCGATTGCTCAGTTTGGCCTGGCGGCCAGCTCTAGGAAGATTCTTGGCGGTGCCAAACTTCTTCCATTTAAGAATGATGGAGGCCACTGTGTTCATGGGGACCTTCAATGCTGCAGACATTTTTGGGTAACCTTCCCCAGATCTGTGCCTTGACACAATACTGTCTCGTAGCTCTACGGACAATTCCTTTGACCTCATGGCTTGGTTTTTGCTCTGACATGCACTATCAACTATGGGACCTTATATAGACAGGTGTGTGCCTTTCCAAATCATGTCCAATCAATGGAATTTACCACAGGTGGACTCCAATCAAGTTGTAGAAACATCTCAAGGATGATCAATGGAAACAGGATACACCTGAGCTCAATTTCGAGTCTCATAGCAAAGGATCTGAATACTTATGTAAATAAGGTATTTCTGTTTTTTATTTTGAATCAATTTGCAAAAATGTCTAAAAACCTGTTTTCGCTCTGACAGAGCTCCAGAGTTCCTCTGTGAAGATAGGAGAACCTTCCAGAAGGACAACCATCTCTGCAGCACTCCACCAATCAGGCCTTTATGGTAGAGTGGCCAGACGGAAGCCACTCCTCAGTAAAAGGCACATGACAGTCCGCTTGGAGTTTGCCAAAAGGCACCTAAATGACTCTCGGACCATGAGAAACAAGATTATCTGGTCTGATGAAACCAAGATTGAACTCTTTGGCCTGAACGCCACGCGACACGTCTGGAGGAAACCTGGCACCATCCCTATGATGAAGCATGGTGGTGGCAGCATCATGCTTTGGGGATGTTTTTCAGCTGCAGGGACTGGGAGACTAGTCAGGATCGAGTGCTCCAGAGTGCTCAGGACCTCAGACTGGAACGAAGGTTCACCTTCCAACAGGACAACAACCCTAAGCACACAGCCAAGACAACGCAGGAGTGGCTTCGGGACAAGTTTCTGAATGTCCTTGGGTGGCCCAGCCTGAGCCCAGACTTGAACCCGATCTAACATCTCTGGAGAGACCTGAAAATAGCTGTGCAGCGGCGCTCCCCATCCAACCTGACAGAGCTTGAGAGGATCTGCAAAGAATAGCACAAGCTCCCTGTTATGATGAGTTTCTCGGGTATCAAGTAATTCATGATGCTATAAGATATTTAACACTTAGCTGGGGAGTTCATATAAGTATTTAATAGGTATCATGGTTCGTTATAACAGAAGGACAGGTGCTTCGCCTCTAGCTATTTCGAACTAACTTGAACAAAGAGACCCTCTCACTTATATACCCTCTGTTACACGTTTCTTCAACCACATCTGGTAACCCTCAGTGGGCACTCCCTTCTTTGATGTTATTCTCTTGTCCCCCAAGGCAGTATATCCTATCCATCAATCATGCTACCATAAACATCAGTAATCTCCTATGACATAATGGAATGCAGACTCTGTGGCACCAAGTCACTTATCTACTAACTAACCTGGTCCACATCATAACAATCCCCCAAAAATGTTTCTCTCTTTTGTGGTAAGTAAAATTACTTAACTCCAACACTTCACATAAACTTCATATAAAATACAATGCTCTCCAATCAGTAGTATATACAGTGAGGGAAAAAGGTATTTGATCCCCTGCTGATTTTGTACATTTGCCCACTGACAAAGAAATGATCAGTCTATCATTTTAATGGTAGGTTTATTTGAACAGTGAGAGACAGAATAACAACAAAAATATACAGAAAAACGAATGTAAAAATTTTTATAAATTGATTTGCATTTTAATGAGGGAAATAAGTATTTGACCCCCTCTCAATCAGAAAGATTTCTGGCTCCCAGGAGTCTTTTATAGAGGTAACGAGCTGAGATTAGGAGCACACTCTTAAAGGGAGTGCTCCTAATCTCAGTTTGTTACCTGTATAAAAGACACCTGTCCACAGAAGCAATCAATCAATCAGATTCCAAACTCTCCACCATAGCCAAGACCAAGAGCTCTCCAAGGATGTCAGGGACAAGATTGTAGACCTACACAAGGCTGGAATGGGCTACAAGACCATCACCAAGCAACTTGGTGAGAAGGTGACAACAGTTGGTGCGATTATTTGCAAATGGAAGAAACACAAAATAACTGTCAATCTCCCTTGCCTTGGGGCTCCATGCAAGATCTCACCTCGTGGAGTTGCAATGATCATGAGAACAGTGAGGAATCAGCCCAGAACTACACGGGAGGATCTTGTCAATGATCTTAAGGCAGCTGGGACCATAGTCACCAAGAAAACAATTGGTAACACACTACGCAGTGAAGGACTGAAATCCTGCAGCGCCCGCAAGGTCCCCCTGCTCAAGAAAGCACATATACAGGCCCGTCTGAAGTTTGCCAATGAACATCTGAATGATTCAGAGGAGAACTGGGTGAAAGTGTTGCGGTCAGATGAGACCAAAATCGAGCTCTTTGGCATCAACTCAACTCGCCGTGTTTGGAGGAGGAGGAATGCTGCCTATGACCCGAAGAACATCATCCCCACCGTCAAACATGGAGGTGGAAACATTATGCTTTGGGGGTGTTTTTCTGCTATTGGGACAGGACAACTTCACAGCATCAAAGGGACGATGGACGGGGCCATGTACCGTCAAATCTTGGGTGAGAACCTCCTTCCCTCAGCCAGGGCATTGAAAATGGGTCGTGGATGGGTATTCCAGCATGACAATGACCCAAAACACACGGCCAAGGCAACAAAGGAGTGGCTCAAGAAGAAGCACATTAAGGTCCTGGAGTGGCCTAGCCAGTCTCCAGACCTTAATACCATAGAAAATCTGTGGAGGGAGCTGAAGGTTCGAGTTGCCAAACGTCAGCCTCGAAACCTTAATGACTTGGAGAAGATCTGCAAAGAGGAGTGAGACAAAATCCCTCCTGAGATGTGTGCAAACCTGGTGGCCAACTACAAGAAACGTCTGACCTCTGTGATTGCCAACAAGGGTTTTGCTACCATGTACTAAGTCATGTTTTGCAGAGGGGTCAAATACTTATTTCCCTCATTAAAATGCAAATCAATTTATAAAATTTTTGACATGCGTTTTTCTGGATTTTTTGTTGTTGTTATTCTGTCTCTCACTGTTCAAATAAACCTACCAATAAATTATAGACTGATCATGTCCTTGTCAGTGGGCAAACGTACAAAATCAGCAGGGGATCAAATACTTTTTTCCCTCACTGTATATGACTAGAGTGTAAACTATGCTAGATAACTGACCCATCATCTTAGACATGCTACCAAGAAAAATAAACATAGAAATAAATTCTGAAC